ATTATATTATATATATAGTATAATAATATATATTAACTATATTATATAGTATATTATATAGTATAATAATATAACTCTACTGAGTAGAGTTCCTATGAGTGATTATTGCTGATAAGTTTATAAGGTTATCTTCCCAGATTTCATTAGTGAGACTCCATCCCAGTTGACACTGTGGCAAATTCAACATCAGAAACTTCTGAGCATCTGTGGCTAGAGGCTGCATCCCAGATACATTCTCTATATCTGGTTATTGTGCCTTTGCTGTTTCTACTTCAAGCCATGTTCCCCTCCTTTAGGTGATAGCAGAGCTGAAGGATGCTTCAGGTAGGAGCTCTGAGCTGTTTAGCTAGGGCTGAATACCTGGAGCTACAAGTTTCATAGGAAAAGGAGCTCTTTCCATGTGCCTTCATCCCACAGAAATAGTTTGCAGGGAACTGGACTGCAAATAGGCCTGTCTTCCCGGGGACAGAGGAGCTCAGTCTGCTTTCAGAGATAGGATACTTATTCAACTTGCAGTACTACCTTTTCGCGGTTGGGGGGGGGGTTCCTTGGAAGGCCTTAAGACTTTTTGGAGCCATTTCCCCCACCTAAATTTAGAGGGAAAAATCTGAGGTTTGTGGCTCACACTGGGTCTTTTTGAAAGGTGATTTACTTGAGGACCTTTAATCTAGAAACAAGGATTTCTTTAGAAAAGTCAGGAGTAAGGTGAACTAGACAGCTTTTTAAAGGCCTTTGTTCTTTTGAACAATCAAAAAGAAAACATAAAAGTATGTTCTTTTCCAGACAGCACACACCAGGCTCAACGGAAGCAGACAGCAGATGCTGCTAACATCCCTCCTCCTCTATCCCAACCCATCCCAGCTCCACCACCTGCTTGGACCCAGTACCTATGAGGCCTGTCTCTACCTGTCTACCAAAGGAAGAATAAACCTTAACTACCCATACAGTCTTGGGCTCATTTACCAGGCTGGGGTGCTTGGTCTGATCCTTGGAAAGGTAGGGAGAGCAGAAGGAAATTGGGGATTGTATTCTAAGAGAAGTAAGCTCGATTTTGAACCACTCCAAGCTATGTTCTCAAGAATAGAGAGATGCCTCCTGATTACAGGGGGGTAGAAAGGAAACAAGGGAAGAACACAAGGAACTGAAATGCAACAGGGAAAATGAAGGGAGCCAGGAAGTATATGCAGAGATTAGATGAGCCCTTGAGCCCCAGGCTCTTAGGTCAGAGCCCCGTTTACTTCAGGGAAGGACTCCTGTGTCTTATCTGCTGGTCAGAATAGTCATATGCTCAGAAAATCTACTCAAAGGTCCTGTGTTTCCTCTCTTCTCCTTTTCTAGCCAATGTTTTCTACACACCTTCCCTTCCCTCTCACCAGGAAATCTACCCTTGGACAAAAAGCATGTCATTGAGAACCTAAAATAAATAAATAAATAATCCTCTCCTCTCAAAGAAGCAGACCATGGACCTACCTCTTATTCATTTTTGGATCACCATTGATCAAATTGCTTTGAGTTTGTATTCCTGGACATTTTTTTCTTTATGAATCTGAGCAGGGGCTACTTCATTATGAGCATTTTTAATGCAAGTTTTTCCCCAAAGGCACATGCAGGCAGACAGGCAGACAGGCAGACAGGCTTGTGCACGCGCGCAACACACACACACACTTACACAGTACCTCGGGAGCTTCCCCTCCTTCAGTTATTTCCCCTCAGCCAGCTGAACAAGGGTGAGGCTTGGAAATAATTTCTCTGTGGCCTACCTTCTGATTCCGTCAGGTCTGAGAAGCAGGCGGTAGCTGGAAGCTGGGAGGCTGGGGCTGGACTGCCTCTGTGAATCAGCAAAGAAGTCCCTGAGACAGGGATGCCGACAGCTGCTGTATGCACACTCTCCCTCTGTCTCTCCCACCTCCCTGCCCTCCTTCTCCTTTTCCTCCTCCCATCTCCGAGCTGCTCTGTGTTGCTATGCAATCATCACCAGGACTAATAGCATCACTGCGACCTCAGGCAAAGACACCCTTGACTGGGCAAATGCAGAAAGAGCAAGGACAGTTTTGTAAAACTACCAGAGCCGTGGCAGCTCTCAGAGATTTCAATTCATTAGAGGCAGAGGAGGAAAGCGGAAGAGCCTGAGAAGCAGAGGGAGAGAGGGGGAGAGGAGAGGCTTCTACTGGGAAGGAGGAGACAAAAGAACTCTGGAGATCAATACAAGCTGCTGAGCTGAGCAAGGAGCCTGGGCCCCAACTTACACAGATCTATCGCAGAGCCAAACCAACTTCAGGGCCAGCAGCTGGCAAGGGCACTTGGTAGCCAGTCCAGAATTCAGTTTCTGTGTTAGGGGTTGAAACACTCTGCTCTAGAATTGTCATTGGTACTCAAAGAACAGTCTTAGGACCAAGGCAGTCTTCCAGTCTGACCCCCTGTATCCTACCTTCACCCCCTCATAGATCTTATATGTAGAAAAAAATCTCAGCAAGTAGGGAAAACAAAATTGACTTTGAATGGTTTGAGAAAATATAGCTCCTCCATATCTCTTCTTAGACTACCCCAGTCACCCTTCCTGCTTTTGTTTATACCAGTCCTTACTCTTACCTGCCACCTTCATTAAAGGTTTGAGTTCCAAACACCCTGAGGAACCTGGAAGAAACCATTAATAGGATGGGGATATTACATCTCTTTACTAAGTGCATAGCACACAGCAGGCTACTTAATAAATATGTGTTGAATGAGTAAATTAGATGAATGAATGGGTGAATAGTTAGTAGTCAGAAGGCCCCCATCACTACCATTCTATACAAATAGATCAAGAATTAAAGCTCTAGCAGCTCCAGGAGACAGAAAACATTAAACCATTATCAGTATGTCACACCCAAGATTTAATTATTAGATTATGATAATAAAATATTAATAATGGCCAATATTACTGAACATTTACTACAAGCTAGGCACCATTTAAAGGGTCTTGCACACTTAGTAGCTCAGTTCATCCTCATAATAAGTAGCTTCTATTTATTACTCCCATTTTACAGAAAAGGGTACTGTAACACAGTGAGGTTAAGTGACCTGCCCAATGTCACATAGCTAATAAATTATGGATCTAAGACTTAATATAGATCCCTATGGGCAATGCCTACATAATTAACCACTATGCGATAGTGCCTTCATTCACCTAGCAGTGGCCTGATTTAGTCTTAATTAGTCTTAATTAGACTAAATACGACTAGGGCACAATTCCCAGGGTAGTTTATCTATCTTTTGTGCCTTTCCTATGCCAGTGAAGGTGTGGTCCTTACTGTTGTTGGTCTGTTAGGGTATTTGGAGGATTATTTTGTTTTGGGTTTTCTAGGGGGTATTAGGATGAATAGAGCCTCTAGCTGTGATTCAGGAGAGACAATTTCTTTGTTTACCATCACAACTCTCACATTTAAACATCAGGAAGATTCATTTTTGCCCAGTAGACATCTATACAAAACAGAGAAAATGAATAGGTTAGCCTCAACTTTTTCTGCAAGGAAGAAAAACAAGGATAAAATAGATTGGATCACAAGCTTTGACTTTCATCCACCCTGGTAACTGGAAAGAGGGTGTTGAGACCTGCTCTGATATTACTGAGCCAAACTTTGCTAGGTAGACAAGAATAGGTAGGGCGTTTCAGGTAAAGAGAAAATATATATGAAAGCACAAAGCTCAAAGAACATGGCTTGCCAAAGGACTGTAAGTACTAGTTAAGTATGACTAAATTAAGATAGGGCTTGGGCTGGGGAAGGGGAGAAGATGGCAAGATACAAAGCATTGAAGAGCATAAGTATCAGAGACCCTGGAGGCATTGGAATCTCATGCTAAGGATCATTTTAAAAATTTCAATAGGAAAGTGGCATGATCAGATTTATGTTTTAGAAATATCAACCTAATGAGTGGCTTTCAATTTAGAAAAACAGTACTAAATACCTACCACACACTAGGTTCTGTGTTAGACCCAAGGGCATAGAGAAGGCTCTGAAACTCCTTTCAAGTTGCTCACAGACTAACAGGTGAGATAGCTAATTCAACATAAATGCAACAGGGTGATGAGTATAATGAAGGATGATTTGGAAGGGAGAAAGGCTGGAAGCTTGAGTCTAGTAGGGGGGCAATTGCCACATTCATCTGTTGAGGACATGAAGTAGGGCAATTTGTAGTGAGGGTGGAAAAATGGGTAATTAGTCCTGTCTTGGAAGAATGGGCCTTCTCCCCCTAGTGGATCTCCTTAGTATTGCCATTTCCTTTTATCTTTGCTTCCTAGCTTGATTACTTGCTTAGTCACTAAAGTCAATAAACGGGGAGGTGGTCTAGTTAATTCCCATTGCTGTTTTTACCATTCCACAACCTTACTGTTGACTCTCTGACCAAGTTTACCAAAAGTACTACTTCAAATATTTCTACTGTTCCTAAACTCAAAAAAAGTACTACTTCAAATATTTCTACTGTTCCTAAACTTCTACTGTTCCTAAATCTACCTCAGCAAATAACCTTCCTTCTTGCTTTACTGGAAAGGTAGATGCTATCCCTGAAATCTTCTCTACTTCAGAATTTCTTAAGTCTTCCCTTTACATCATCTCCAGACAAAATAAAATCTTTTTTTTTTTTTCCTTCCTGAGGTAAACGTCTCTACCTAATAACTTTGCAACATCCTCTCCTCATCTACTCTGGGAACTTCTTTATACAATCCTCTCCCCCCACTGCCCCCCCTCGCTTTTAAAAAAATTTTCAATCTTTTCATTATCTCTGAGTCTTTTCCTGTTGCTTACAATCACATTAGGAACAGGAAGTTTGCTAACTCCTATGAATTTGGGAAGTGGGAAGAATGTTTCCCCACTAGACAAAGTTCCCCCCAGCACCACCCTACACACGTCATACATGCAACCAGGTCAAAACCATGTTACTGACAAGCTGGAGAAAGTATGGAGGAAAGCAACATCATCACAGCAAAGAATTCTCAAGTTTCAGCTGAGATTAAGAAGTAAAATATATGACTAAAATATAGAGGATAATAATAATACAGCTTTATCAGTTATTATTTGCAATGTGTCTTCTGTCATATTCTTTTATTTATGTAGCAGAGATTGCTTCCAATGAATGGAAATTCCATGTAGTAAATTTTAAAGGGTTGGTAGAGTAACAGAAAAGTTAAATGCCTCAGGACAAGCAAGATTAGTACTAATTGGGATGGGAGAATGAGTCACAGGGACAGGTTTCCACCAAGCATGTATGACATAAATAAAGGAAGTAGGTAGTTGAGAGATAAGGTGAAGGAACATGTTAGAGATGCAGGGACACAATGTCAAAAGGCCAAAAAGCCATAATATACGAGGGTTGAAGAATTAGTGTCATCCCGGTCAATGCTCTGAACACTCTCTGCTGCTTTTGTTAAACATCCCAAAATTCAGAACTCATTTTACACTCTTGGTTACCTCCCACCCTCTTCTTCAAGCTTCTGCTAAACCAGATCCAGCAGCTGGGGTGTTATATAACAAAATATTATGCTCTATTTATGTTTTCAGATATATTTCATTTAGACCAAAATCATCCAAGCTACAAAGTGGTACAGTGGAAAGAGCAATGAATTAGGAGTCAAAGGACAAAGGTTCTACTCCCAATTTCGCTACAAAATTGCTGTTAACCTTTTTTGAGTCTTGGTTATTTTCCTTCACCAGAAAGGGGATATTTTCTCTGTTTACTTCATTTGATTAGGTTGAGAATCAAATGGGATAATGGGTGTGAATATATATTGAATACATTAAAATCATAAAGTTCTCTTCAAACATAAGAGATTATTATTTCCATTGCTTCAATTTCCTGGCGGTTTCCCTCTCTACAGAGGACATAAAGACCTAGAATAGATTGTAGTAGCTAAGGAAGCCGTGTCAGAAATATAATTAGCTCCCTGTTTCCATGCTGGATCAGATACCATAGTTCTTTAACTAGACATACCAAAAACACAGTTCAGACTATTATTTACCATCCTTCACATTATCCTTATTCCAACCCAGACGGCTAGACATATGCATACTTCCATGAGCTTCCAGGATAAGATATACAACTCAACAAGAACGACTGGTTTTCTAGACTAAACAGAACTACTACTGTTTCATTAGGTTTAGGTTGCTGAAGCAAGATAAGCAATTCTTACTTGTTACTTGCATTGAGAGGTGAAGGGGAATTAACATTCTTGGGGATTACACCCTGTGCCAAACACAGTATTAAGATACTTGACATCTATGACCTCCGTAGTGTTCAACGTGAGGTAGGGGTTATTATTTCCAACTTTACAGACAAGAAAATTGCAGCTCAGAGAAGTTAAACAATATGCACAGGTTTAGAAAGCCAATAAGAAATGCAAGCTGGGATTCAATCCCAAATCCTTCTGATTCCCAAACTGACACTCTTCCCACTTCTCTCCTACTGCTGGGAGCCATTAGCCAAGTAGGTATGACAATTTCCTTGCCAGCGTACCCCATGTTGCTTAGTGGAAGGACTCGTGGAAATAGGACATTTTGCAGTGACATTGCAGTTAGGTGACCTTGCTCAAGGACCAGGGCGGATCCGGGATTAGGGTGTTCCTGGTTTAGGATAATCAGGTTTAGGGCGTTCCGGTTTAGGTTCCAGGTTTAAGGTTTAAGATTATTCCTGCTGGGACTAGGGCGTATCCTGCTGCCTGAGTTCCCCTTGAGTTCTCACAGGATCCAGACAGTATTTTTTGGGAGACAGAAGCCCAGTGGGGTGGATTTGGGCAGAGAACGTGGATTTCCCCAGAATGTGATTGTAGACGGCTGGTGTGAGTTCGGGAATAAAGAGTTGCTGTTTGAATCTACAAGCTGTGTGGTGGCTTGTGATTTTGTGCCCAGCCAGACTGCGGCTTTTGTGCCCAGCCAGAC